ATTAATCAAATAATTTGTTTAATTTGACACTAAAAAAAGGAAAACCATCTTTAAATCCCATAATATGTATAGTACTATTGAACTAGTAATACAGTTTGAACCATTTTAAGATTAAATCTTGAAGCGGGGATATATCTCCACGGCCTAGACAAAGTATGTAATCTGCTTAACAGTAAAGACACAACAAACAATGTATATTTAGTCAAGTTTAGTCAATGAATTATTAATCAAGTGAAATTAAATTAGTAGAATGGTTCCTCCATCTTTTATTGATTTAATCATATAATGTCCATTTCTTTCACACCAATTTCTACTTTCTTACTACATTACTTCATACTTTGTACATTAGTTAATTCATGACCTACTCTTCTATCTTTATTCTTCGATTATTCTCTTAACTTGATTGTAAATACATATTGTTCTATCTTTATTCTTCGCTTATTGTTTTATCTTGTTTGTAATTACGTATTTCTCCATCATTACTCTTTTATCTTGTTTGTAAATACATATTTCTCTATCTTTATATTCATCTCTTATTCTTTTACACTGTTTGTAAATACATATTATTTTATCTTTATTATTTTATCTTGATTGAAAATACATATCCTTCTACCTTTATTCGTCGCTTATTCATTTGTCTTGTTTGAAAATATATATTATTTTTCCATCTTTATTCTACGCTTAATCTATTTTTTGTTTGTAAATACACATTCTTCTATATTTATATAATGGCTTATTCTAATGGCTTGTTTGTAAATACACATTCATCTATCTTTATATAATGGCTTATTCTATTGGCATGTTTGTAAATACACATTCTTCTTTCTTTATATAATAGCTTATTCTATTGGCATGTTTGTAAATACACATTCTTCTATATTTATATAATGGCTTATTCTAATGACTTGTTTGTAAATACACGTTCTTCTATCTTTATATAATAGCTTATTCTATTGACTTGTTTGTAAATACACGTTCTTCTATCTTTATATAATAGCTTATTCTATTGACTTGTTTGTAAATACACATTCTTCTTTCTTTATATAATAGCTTATTCTATTGGCTTGTTTGTAAATACACGTTCTTCTATCTTTATATAATAGCTTATTCTATTGGCTTGTTTGTAAATACACATTCTTCTATATTTATATAATGGCTTATTCTATTGGCTTGTTTGTAAATACACATTCTTCTATATTTATATAATGGCTT